TTCTACCACCCCTCCTCTCGTCGTGTTCTGTCCTCCCAGGACGTCACGTTCGACGAGTCAGTCCCCTTCTACCGCCTCTTCCCCTACCGCACTCCTTCCCTCCCCCCGCCGCCGCACTTCCTCGTGCCAGGTCCCCCCCCGGTAGACCCCCTTCCCCCTCAGGGTCCTGCCCCTTCAGGTGTGTCCCAGGTAGACGCAGTCGAGCCTGTCGAGGTTACTGGTGACTCTGGTACTGCTGCGGGTGCTGAGCCTGGGGGTGCTGACTCTGGGGGTGCTGCGCGCGTGGGTGCTGGGCCTGGGGGTGCTAAGCCTGGGGGTGCTGTGCCTGGGAGTGCTGAGCCAGGGGGTACTGCGTCTGGAGCTGCTGAGCCTGGAGGTGCGGAGCCTGCGGTCGCTGGACATCCCCTTGTGGCGTCTGGCGGTGCTGAGTCTGGAGGTTCTCCGATAAGTACGCGAAGCAGTCAACCCCGATAAGGAATTCGGGAAAATTCCTTACAGCTGGACAACAGATTGTTACTCGTTGATTTGGCCAGGCGATTGATTATCTGACACAAACCGGAGCCACTGATCTAGACGAGGCCATAAATCAACCAACAAAAGGAAATACGGTAATACACATTCAGCATCCTCTCAAAACAAATTTATCGAGCATGGACAGAAACTATGTTCACTCAGACTCATTGCTTATGCAGATTATACAACAGATGGTGCATTGTAAGATTCGCCATAGCCTCACCAACTTCTCCATAAAGCAACCCTTTCTCAAACCCTCTCTCTGCTTCACCAGCGTCAAAACAAGTGTAGTGTACGTTTTTTGGACCACATGTGTCACTGTGCCTAGGAGCTTCCAGTGGCCATCCATCAAGCAGCTGGATATTGTAGCGCTGTAATTGCCCCTCCAAAAGTCCATTCATGTACTCGATGAGCGAGTTTGTGGCAGGTTGAACTACCGAAAACGATTTCAGTAGTGTCGGAGTGAAGCAATCCTCGGTGATTTGCCGAACTGGAGGAATGGACCGGAACAGAAACTTTGGCCTCCATGCGCGTTGTCTTAGCATTCTTGTACCGTTCATACCATAACCACTGCCACCCTCTGCTCCCCCACTACTACCATCTGTTGCCAAATCGGCAACATCAAGAGTTGTTGTCAGTAGCTTTGCATACCCCCTCTGGTGCTGCTCCTCTGCTTTACGCTTCTGTCCAATTGCCCATTCAAGAAAAGCAGGCAGGTGAACACTGTAGGCTCTCTCAGGCTCCTCACAGAGCCAGCCGGACCAGGTGCCAGCATCAATTACTGTGACATCAGCCGTAAGGGAGATGTTGGGGAAGGATTCCTGCCTGCCAGAGAAATAGCCTCTTCGCCTGAAGTGGGAATGGGAAGGAGGATGTAGTCGGAGTGAATTGGAATTGGAGCATGAAATGAGTGCAATAGTGCAATATGCTGCAAGCTCATGGTCCAAATTGAGTCTTCCAATGAGGGGTGTTTCAATGTGTGCGGCGGCTGTTGACTTACTCGCATCCGAATTGCCCATTTCGGTAAATGCCATCAACCCAGTAGAAATTCAGCTTCAGTCCCTCAAACTGCCGCTGCTTCTTCTCCTGCTCTTGCTGCTGATTCACCCCATTTCCCCCCCTAAGACCCCCTCGCACGCCCAACGCCACATCATCTCCCCGTGGTGCTGTATCATAAGCTGGAGCAGGGCCAGGTACAGAGATGGAGATATCCCCATGATAGCCCACATGGGAGTCATTGACGCTGTGCGTCAAGAGGAAAGCAAGGTGCAGCATCAGTAAGCGTTGGTGTGAGTCGCCCACGAAGTTGATCTCCCTGATGCCACGTGATGCCAAGGCTGAGACCCAGTGGGATGGCGGAGGAAGAGGAGGCGCACACGGGAAGAACTCCCACCTGAAATGGGCGAGGTGGAAGGAGGAGGGAACTGAGATAATTAGGGCGCGTGTCTTTTGGAAATTGTATGCAAAACTCGAGTTTTTGAGTTGAACTAACACAGTTGAACCTAGGTCGACCTAGGCCCGACTATTTCGGCATCTGTGACCCGAGTCGCTGCTCCTCCACTCACGAGAATCACAGGACACACAAAAGTTCAGACTATCGAAGTTGAACTTTTACAGCGTACCCGAGTCGCGTCCAGCTCACGAACGGTTACCTGGTGTGTGTTTGAAGAGGCCCGGACCCTAATTTCCAAAGTCGCTCGTGCTGCGACTCTCGCCAAAGTTGCAGATTCTTCGTGTATGGTCAAGAGGACACACAACTGACGTTTCGTTCACGCATGGTTTGTTTTGAAAGCTCGACCCAGGTTTAGTGTCCTACTTCATATACAATGCTGTACAGGGACACACGATGGATATACGAAACATTTAGTGAGATTCGCGAAAAGGGTTACCATCAAAAGCTCAACCAATTTTTCGAACCTCTACAGCAAAAGACACGCGCCCTTACAACGTGCCTTTTTTGCCAACTACATAACGGGTAAGAGCAGCAGAAGAATGATAACGTAACATGGGTGTGCATTGGGAATCAGGATTCAAGGCTATCAGGTGCGACAGCGGAGCCATGTCCGTACCTGCCATGTCCGTACCTGTAATTTCCGGTGCTGCCATCCCTCAGCCAGCGGCCGTGAGAGGCGCCGTGGTCACAGGCTGAACCCAACATTCCATCAGCCACTGCGTCCCCCTTTGCTGCCTCGGAAAGTGAGAAGGACGGTTCCTGCTGAACCCGGGCTGCTGGAAGTGTGCTGGTCTTGAGCTTGCGACTGGGACGGACGGCGAGGGTCCATTGCGCCATGTCGTGCTCATGTGCGTGAGCGAAGGAAGCGGAATAGTTCAAAGAGCCGCATCCGGACCGAACGACCACTCTGTCGTGAACGGAAGGCAAGGGAAGGGTCAAGGTAAAAGTATCTCGTTCCATCAGCCTCTGCCAATTAGAAAAAGGCTCGCCAATTGCCGCGTAATCGGCTTATATACGCGATCTAGTTGGTCTTTATTTGAATGAATGCTGAGGAGAAGACTTACTCGTACAAGCCAGCGTCCCATACACGGTATGCCACCCGCCACCAGCTGACGTCGCCTCTCTCAGCCGTGACGTCAGCTCGCACGAGCGACGGTCCCACCAGCTGCACCGCCAGCTCGTGCTTGAACGCCATGCCTGGCGGCACCGTCCACGTCGCAGGCCGTCGCACGGCGATCTCGAACGTGCACAGTCGCCCGGCGACGCAATGGCGACATCCTGGTCCAAAAATCACCACGCCGCCGCGGCCTCGGATTTCATCGCTTGAACTACCACTACGAACGGGAGCGGCTTCAGTTGTGGAAAGTACTACAGTAGCATCATCGGAACCATGGATCTGGTTCGACCAAGAAGAGTCTTTTCCGTCATAGCCGCCGTGATCCCCAGACCACCAGCACAGAACCTCGCCGTGATACGAGTCCGAGTCGGTTAAATCTTTCCGCGATTCCTCGCTTCTGTCAGCGGAAAATCCAGCTTTAATCCCCTCTGATACTGTGACGTTTGCGACCTCACTGTGTCCGATACTGTCCCGACATTTGCAGGAATAACTAAGCAACGACAGGACCGCGACCGCTGCAATAAGGAGTAAGTGGACCGCAGCGCGAAGGGACGAGTGGAAACCGAGGATGCTATTTCTGTGACGTAGCCATGGTGTCCCCATGGTGCACACAGACTCATAGATGTCGTGTGTGTAGAAGATGATATCGGTGTTTCGAGTGTTTCATCGGAGACACGTGGCCTGCTTATCTTGGTGAGGTATTCCCGGAATAGCTGGCAGTGAGCTAGGTCTGAGCAAGCTAATCTCGGTGGAAACGCGATTTTCGAGGTTACCGTGATTGCAACTTCAAGTGAGGACGGGGCCGTAGAGCTCATCATCCGGCGTCGCTCCAACCTTGAGCTCATCGTACGTTGATCTCAGCCGTCCGTTGTGCTCTACGCATGATCAATCCACGGCGGCCATCAGCCTCGCTGGGTGATCTCTTCCTGAAGCTGTGCTTATGATTCCGGGCTTCCCAGGGGCACCGCTGACTGACAACCATCACACGCTACTGTACATCGAAAGAAATCGTAAGGGTGAAGGAAAAATATGACCTAGATTTGGGCGGAGAACGACAAGGGTGTGGCAGTGGTCGCCAAGATTCTCGGCTATAGTAATGTACCCAAGGACACTCTCCACTCCACCACAACTCGCCCTTGAAACGGAACTGTGGGCAGGAGTGAGGCAGGACTGGGTCCTTCTTCGCATCGCAGTAGAGTATCTGAATGCTCGATTAACGACGGCTTGACTTCACCTCCTCAGTTGACGGCTAGTCGCTTCCGCTAGCAGCCCGCACGGATACATATCGGCTGCACTTGTGAGTCGTGACTTCTGCCGGCCGTCTTTATGGCCAGCTCGCTTTGCGGGATCTTGACGGAACCACCCTTGCTGTATGTGGATCACTCCTCGGGATTGTTGCCGAGACTCATCAATATGCCGCTGGTCTCATCTTTTTGGGATTGTTCCCAAAAAGACCCCAAGTAAACCCAAGGGAAACTCAAGGGAACCCAAGAGAACCGACCGGAAACCAAGAGAACCCAACCGAAATCTCACAAAATAGAAAAGTTACCATGTAAAAATATCTAGTTTTATTCTATAAAAGTAATGTTTATGGCATTCCATAATTTGTCATTACATGATATTTGTAAAGATACGCCAAATTCCCTTGTCATAATCATCCAAGTGGTTTAAAACCACCTCCAACCATCCTTGCAACAAGCTGTCGGGTAATGGCTTGTGTGAGGATAAATGTTCCACCTAACTATCAACTCATACAGAGCACGCCCATTCCAGCGTGCAGAACAGCAGCACCATATCAAGCTTATCGATATGTCTCACAACAAATCTACGCGAAAACTGCAGCCCTGCCCTCGTTAGAGAATGAGAATATCCTACCCATTTCAACCCACCCCAACCTCATCATACCGCTGCCTGTCGTTAACTGGCAGCACGCCCCATGCTGCGGCACCACTCACCCATGGCGACATCTGCCTCACTCAGAATCGACTTCTTCACCATCCGGAACTGCAGCACTGTCTCCCTCTCATGCACCCACCGCATCACACCAGGTGAACACACCGGCTTGTTTGCCGAACCACCTGCCGAACCGCCTGCCGAGCCATCTGTTTGCTCGCCCTCGTCCGCATCCCCCTCCCTGCTTCCCCGATCCTCCTCACCACTCGCTTCCCCGCTGTCCCCTGCCAGGATCTCACTCGCACTCCTGTACCTGCCCCCTCGACACGCCACCAGCTCCCTCAACCTATCCTCATCCTCATAGTAATCCGTTGAGAAAGACCATCCTCCTGACAGCCTCGACTCTGCTTCAGAAGCCTCTCTCGCTGCCCGCCTCTTCTCCTCGCCTGTCAGCCCCACGCCCAATAGGGCTCTCACCCGCTGCTGGATTGCGCATGCTGCTGCTGACAGGGAGGATAGGATGTCTGCTGACGTGGACTGGGCCAGCTGCTGCCACGTGTCAGCAGCCTGTGCTGCCATGTCATGGGGTTCGTCTGCTGTGCTGGATCCAGCTTCTTGATCCTCTGTACCGTGTGAATCTGGCTCTGTTTCCTCTGCTGCTGCTCCCGCATTATGCACATCATCACTAACATCAACATCAGCAGCAGTACCAGCAGCAGCAGCATCCGCAGCTAAAGCCCCCTTACTATCATCACCATCACCAGCATCAGTAGCAGCAGCAGCTGGAGCATCCTCAATATCATCACCAGCAGGTACAGCTGAAGCCCCATCATTATCATCACCATCACCAGCACCACCATCATATTCATCATCAGTAAAGGGTTTCCCATTGTCCAAGATGGGTGCACTCAGATGCATGGCTGCCGTGGCGAGCTGTTCCGCATCCAACTCTGGAAAAGAGCGAGCAAGGGAGAGAGAAGAGTGGGGAGAGTAAGAGGGAGAAGAAGCAGGGGAGCGTGGTTCTGAGAGGGTAGAGGAGTTCCTTATCCAAGATGGGCGCACTCAGGTGCGTGGCTGCCGTGGCGAGCTGCTCCGCATCCAGCTCTGAGAAAGAATGAACATGGGAAGAGGGGGGAGAGGAAGCAGGGGAGAGGAAGCAGGGATGAGAGCAGCTGAGAGGGCTGAGGTCTCCTGTTGTCCAAGATGGGAGCACTCAGGATGGCTGCTCTGGCGAGCTGCTCCGCATTCAACTCAGGGCAGTGATTTTCTGTGCGCAAGATGGGGACACTCAGGTGCATGGCTGCCCTGGCGAGCTGCTTCAAATCTAACTCTGGAGAAGAGTGAGCATGGTAGGGGGTAGAGGAGACGGCGGAGGAGGGGGCCAAGGCGTGGATGGGGGCAGAGGAGGGGGCAAGGGCGAGGGATGGGAAAACAAAAGACTCATCTCAGGACTCGCACACCCCCTTCCCCCATTCTCCTACCATTCTACCACACTCCACCACACTCAAACCCTCCAAGCACTCTCACCTCGCCCGGTGTTCTTCCAGTGCCACACAGGAGCAGCCATGGCCAGCATCTCAGGACTTGCATGCCCGCCCGCCCATTCCCCTACCTTTTTGCCACACTCCACCACACTCAACCCTTCCAAACTCTCTCACCTCGCCGTACTCTCACCCCTCCCTGTTCTCACCTCGGCCTGTGTCTATCCAGTGCCACACAGCAGCAGCCATGGCCAGAATCTCAGGGTTCACATGCCCGCCCGCCCAGCCTGCTACCGTGGCCACCACTACACCTCGCCCCACCACACTCAACCCCTCCAATGTAACTCTCACCTCGGCCTGTGTCTATCCAGTGCCACACAGCAGCACCCATGGTCAGCACCTCACGGCTCGCATGCCTGCCTGCCCAGCCTGCTACCATGGCCACCGTTATACCTCGTCCCACCACACTCAACCCCTCGAATCTAACTCTCACCTCGGCCTGTGTCTATCCAGTGCCACACAGCAGCAGCCATGGCCAGCATCTCAGGGCTCGCATGCCCGCCCGCCCACACCACCAGCTGCTTCTTTGCGCTCTCAAAATCCTCCTCGCTCTCCATCCCCTCCCACCACTCCCCACCCGTGCTGCCATCCCCACTCGTGCCAACCCTTTGCCCTTCCTCCCCCTGCCCCTCCTCCCTCTGCGCCTCCTCCCCTTTTCCGTCCCCACCTTGCCCCCTCTCCCCCTGCGCCTCCTGCCCCTCCCCCTCTTCCTCCGCCCGCCCCTGTCCCTTCTGCACCCCTGTCCGCCTCTCCTCTCTCATCCTCTCCACCACCTCCCTCACCGACGCCGCAACCCTCAGTGCCCCCCTCAGTGTTGCATAAGCAGGGTGTGACTGGGTGGGGTGCGGTTGAGTGGGGTGCGTCTGTTGCACTGCATACTCCACCAGACGAGCAGAGCTGGAGGGAAGAACCAGAGGGTTGGAGGGACGAGGAATAGAGGCTTGGACAAGGGTTGGAGGAGTGGGGAGCAAACAGAGAAATTAGACACACTCAGATAAGAGTGGCCGAGAGTGCAAAGCTGTCAAGAGAGGACAGGTGGGCTGCAAAAGCCTTACTCCCACCAATCTCGTGTTGTACTAGACCAACGAAACAAACCAGAGAAATTAGATACACTCTGATAAGAGTGGCCGAGAGTGCAAAGCAAAGCACAACATCATCAGGCACGAAGCCATGCAACGACAGCATGTGGATGCTGGGCATGATGTGCAACGACAGCATGTGGATGCTGGGCAAGATGTGCAACGACAGCATGTGGATGCTGGGCATGATGTGCAACGACAGCATGTGGATGCTGGCCATGATGTGCAACGACAGCATGTGGATGCTGGGCATGATGTGTAACGACAGCATGTGGATGCTGGGCATGATGTGCAATGACAGCATGTGGATGCTGGCCATGATGTGCAACGACAGCCTGTGGATGCTGGGCATGATGTGCAACGACAGCATGTGGATGCTGGGCATGATGTGCAACAACAGCCTGTGGATGCTGGGCATGATGTGCAACGACAGCATGTGGATGCTGGGCATGATGTGCAACGAGAGTATGTGGATGCTGGGCATGATGTGCACTTGTGGCAATGAAGCAACTTACCTGGGGAGTAGTATGACAGTATCATGAGGGTTGTACGGAGGCACGAAGCCATACTCTGCCAACATGTCAATGGTGGGCATGGCCGTTGGGCTTGGGCCCGGGGGTGAGCCTTCATCCGGGGGTGAACCTTCATCCCGGGGTGAACCTTAATCCGGCGTTGGGCTTGGGCGTTGGGCTTGAGCGTTGGGCTTGGGCGTTGGGTCAATCAAGAGTGGTTTACAGGGCAATGGAATGCAATGCAGCACTCACCTGGGGAAGAGCTCGACGGAGTCATAAGGGTTGTATGCGGGCACAAAGCCATACTCCGCCAGCATGTCAATGGTGGGCTTGCTGTGACTAGATGGAATGACTTTTGAGGCGCCTCAAAAGGCTTGCTGTGACTAGTTGGAATGCCGCACATTACCTGGGGAAGAGGACGACGGTACCGAAGGGGTTGTATGCAGGCACGAAGCCATACTCCGCCACCATGTCAATGGTGGGCTTGGGAACACTGGATTCTCACCTGAGTGTGGTGTCAAATGCACTGCAACAACCTCACCTGGGGAAGAGGATGACGGTGTCATAAGGGTTGTATGAAGGCACGAAGCCATACTCCGCCACCATGTCAATGCTGGGCTTGGCTCCGTATGATATGCTCAGCGGCTCTCCTTCCTCAATGGCCTGGTAGGTCGTGAAGAGGAAGTGGTCGCCTGAGAGCTGGAGCGGAGGGAAAAGGGGGGTAATGGGGCGGGGGAGGGGGCAGGAGGAGAGGGCGAGGAAGGGCTGGGACAATGCCTCAGGGGCTCGCATGGCCTGGTAGGTCGTGAAGAAGAAGTGGTCACCTGACAGCTGGCGGGAAGAAGGGAAGGGGGCGTGGAGGGGGGGTAGGGAAGTTAGACAAGGGGGGGGTGGGGCGGGGATGGGACATATGATCATCTCAGCAGCTCTCCTTGCCCGATGGTCTGGTGGATGGTGAAGGGGAAGGAGTTTCCAAAGAGCTGGAGGAGGGCGAGATGGGAGGGGAGAGAACAGAGAAGAGAGATAAGGCAGCTCCTCCCACCCCTCACCTTCCACCCCTCACATCCCCATGTTGGGGTGGTGATCATTCATAGTTAGCCAGATCAGGCTCATACCCAGGCGTTTTGAGGGTGAGCGGGACATATGGCAACTTCTTTCACCCCTCACCTCCCACCCCTCACCTTCCACCCCATGTTGGGGTAGTAATCATGGTTGAACAGATCAGCGAATGGGAGCATGGCTGCTGACGTGGCATACCAATCCTCCGCTCTCCTGCCACTGCCACCACTGTTGCTGCTGCTGCTAGTACTCCCCTCCTCTGACTCCCCTCCTGCCTCTTCTGTTGCTACTGCTTCCACTACATTTGCTGCTACTTCTGCCCCATCTGCACTCCCATCCCTGCCCCCTTCCGCCCCTTCCGCACCCTCCGCCTGCTGCTCCTCCCCACCCCCACGGGCGCGCATTGAAGGCGAGAAGGTGAAGCAGCGCGATGTGACTATAGTGAGCGCCCAGTAGAACTCGGAGCGAGTGGCGTTGGCGATGGCAGCGAGATTGCTGCTGTTGCATCTGTCGTACAGATCGGCATATGCCGCCTTGAGCCGCGTGGCCTGTGGTGGAGTGCGGGGGGGAGATGGGGAGCAGAGGGAAAAAAGGAGGGAATAGGCATGGACGATGGTGGTGGGGTTGCTGTTGCAGCGATCGTACAGGTCCGCATATGCTGCCTTGAGACGCGTGGCCTGTGGTGTGGGGGGGGGGGGGGGGGGGGGGGTGAGGGGAGTGGTGGGAATCAAGTGAGTGAACAGGCATGGGCAACGGCAGCACGGGATGGCAGCGGGGTTGCCGCTGCAGCAATGGTATAGGTCAGCGTGTGCTGCCTTGAGACGCGTGGCCTGTGGTAAGGGTGGGCGGAGGAGGGGAGAGAAGGAGGGGAAGGGGGGAGACATGGGAGATGCGAAACGGAGAGGAGAGGTAGCGAGCAACGACACTCAGGCAAGCACGGAGTGTGTGAAAAGAGTATGTGAAGGGGAGTGTGAAAAGGGGAGTGTGAAAAGGGGAGTGTGAAAAGGGGAGTGTGAAAAGGGGAGTGTGAAAAGGGGAGTGTGAAAAGGGGAGTGTGAAAAGGGGAGTATGAAAAGGGGATTGTGAAAAGGGGAGTGTAAAAGGGGAGTGTGAAAAGGGGAGTGTGAAAAGGGGAGTGTGAAAAGGGGAGTGTGAAAAGGGGAGTGTGAAAAGGGGAGTGTGAAAAGGGGAGTGTGAAAAGGGGAGTGTGAAAAGGGGATTGTGAAAAGGGGAGTGTGAAAAGGGGAGTGTGAAAAGGGGAGTGTGAAAAGGGGAGTGTGAAAAGGGGAGTGTGAAAAGGGGAGTGTGAAAAGGGGAGTGTGAAAAGGGGAGTGTGAAAAGGGGATTACGAGTGAAGAAGAGTATGCAGAGCAAACCATGTCTCTATTTCCCAGACTTCCCCTAACACTCACTCCATAACTCACCCACCTGGTCAACGATCGGCCAGTACTCAAACTGGTCGATGAGCTGTTGGGGGAAGAGAGCAGGCAGGGGCACGTAGGCGGGCAGCGAGCGCAGGAAGAGCGCCCAGGGGGACGCAGCGCCCTTGGCCCTCTCTCGCAGCAGCCAGGCTGCCAGCACGGTGTATGTGTCCCACCCATATGGCACCGGTAGTGTCATGTCATATGGGAGCAGATGGCGCTCTGACTCGTTCTGCACACAGTAACGGGAGGAAGGAAGGAGGCGTGCTAGGGATGAATGGTTGGGTGTTCTGCCTCCCTCTCTCGCAGCAGCCAGGCTGCCAGCACGGTGTATGTGTCCCACCCATATGGCACCGGTAGTGTCATGTCATATGGGAGCAGATGGCGCTCTGACTCGTTCTACACACAGTAACGGGAGGAAGGAAGGAGGCGTGCTAGGGATGAATGGTTGGGTGTTCTGCCTCCCTCTCTCGCAGCAGCCAGGCTGCCAGCACGGTGTATGTGTCCCACCCATACGGCACCGGTAGTATCATGTCATAGGGGAGCAGATGGCGCTCGGACTCGTTCTGCACACAGTAACGGGAGGAAGGAAGGAGGTGTGCTAGGGATGAATGGTTGGGTGTTCTGCCTCCCTCTCTCGCAGCAGCCAGGCTGCCAGCACGGTGTATGTGTCCCACCCATATGGCACCGGTAGTGTCATGTCATATGGGAGCAGATGGCGCTCTGACTCGTTCTGCACACAGTAACGGGAGGAAGGAAGGAGGCGTGCTAGGGATGAATGGTTGGGTGTTCTGCCTCCCTCTCTCGCAGCAGCCAGGCTGCCAGCACGGTGTATGTGTCCCACCCATACGGCACCGGTAGTATCATGTCATAGGGGAGCAGATGGCGCTCGGACTCGTTCTGCACACAGTAACGGGAGGAAGGAAGGAGGTGTGCTAGGGATGAATGGTTGGGTGTTCTGCCTCCCTCTCTCGCAGCAGCCAGGCTGCCAGCACGGTGTATGTGTCCCACCCGTACGGCACTGGTAGCTGCATGTCATATGGGAGGAGATGGCGCTCTGAATCTTTCTGTTAAGGGGGTTGGGAGATGGATGTGAGTGGTGGAGAGGGATGGAGGGGGGTGAAAGGGACAATTGGAGAGAGAAAGGTACGGAGGCAAGGCCTACTGGTTGCGTGGTTGGCCTCTCTCTCACACACGCCCACAAAGTCACACCCATACAGTAACACCCATGCAGTCACACCCATGCAGTCACACCCATGCAGTCACACCCACACGGTTCCAGCTATACAAAGTGACACACACCCATGTACTCTCCCACACTCAGTCACAATCACACATAGCCACACCACACTGATGAGTCGGTTTTTGAGTCGACTCAAAAACCGACTCATCACACCCATGTACTCTCCCATACCCAGTCACAATCACACACAGTCACACCACACTCACCAGGGCAATCCAGTTGGCCACTATGAAGAACCTTCGTGGAACTATCAGGATCACCTCGCCCGCCTCTATTCTGCGCGCTGCCTTAAAGCCAATGTCCGCCCTGCCAGTGCCGTTAGGGGACGATAAATGGGGAGGAGGGGATGCGAAGTGGAAAGAAAGCAGGGCACGGCTGGTTCAAGAATCGAAGGGCCTGGCTACGGAAACAGGTAAGAGGCTGAAGTCTAAGCAGTTATGTCTTAATCGGAGAAACTTCACATGCTTTGAGTCCCTACGGCACACCGTGTGGTAACCCTGCTTGAGTCCCTACCGCGTGTCGTTCGGTTTCCACACGCTTGCACCACCCTCGGGATTGTCTGAAGCGCCTCGAGCTTCAGGCACGGCTTCATGCACGCTGCGAGTGGAGAAGTCCACCTGGCGACACGCGGACGCACGGGAAGGTGACACACTTGTGAAACACCACGTGGCAGGTGGCGAAACGCGAGGCGTTGACGAAAACACGCAGTATTCCGGGACTCGGGACTTAACTGCACCAAAAGAGCTGTAGATTCGCCGCACTAACCTCGATAGTACCGTCAACGACAATGCCATATTCAGATCCTTCCGAATCTCTCGTCCAATCCAGTCCCATCCACGTCAGCATGTCTTCCACCATGGCGCGCTCCGATCCTGCCACGTCATGCTCGACGCTCCCAAGCTTTCTAGATCCTCCGTCGTCCGCGGATTCAACTGGATAAGATTCGGCTCCAATTTCAGACGTCTTTAAATCCGAATAGGCCTCAGATCCTTCGGGCGACGCGTCGGCACTAGCAGCGCAAGTCTGTGAGCCAGCGGCATTGTTATCCGCGCAATGTCCGGCGTGATCGCCGGCGGATTGACCGGCGGTGGTGTCTAGCGCATAGGATGGGGTCGCGAGCAGCAGAACGAAGAGAAACGACAGAATGAGGAGGAGTGCTCGGGGGACGCGGTGACGAGTTCGAATCGCGGGAAAAGTTAGGTGTAGGTGACCAGCGTCTTTGCGAACCGCTCCTTTGCGACCGAAACGACTTTCACCGCGACGAGCATTATGAGGATCATTACGACAGCCGCAAGTTTGGTGGACACGCAGTAGTACGGCCATGGCTGCTTGGCATTGCATGTGTGGTGTCGAGCTGAATGCTCAGCAACCTCTCGTGTGGCGCAAAATAGCTTATGGAATAAGGATCTGCAGGGCATACACTCGCGGACAGATTCCCGCCAAATATATGAAGAATGCAAGAGATATACTCGCTACTAGTACTCTCTTTTCCTCCGGAGTAACTCTCTAATGTTTGCTCTGGCTTAGATTACGGTAGGAACAGAATACCTATCTAACTAGTTTGGAATCAACAATTAATAGAGCACTTAGCTCTGGGAGATCCAGACCAAAGAATAGGATTATTTAGATATTGCATGTCAAACTGTCAAAATATCTTGGAGATCCAATCAAGCATATTGCATGTAAATTTGCATTTTACAGCAATGAAGTCAGAACCAGCCTGCCCCGTGTGACGTGTCCGTTCACCCCGCCCCCCCACAATCAAAGCAGCATACACTGAAGCAATTTAGCAGGCAGGCAGGCAGCCCGCAGCTGGATGTCGAGAAAAACATTCTAGCCAAACCACAATCGCTCAATAAATATGTGCAGCAATCATTTGTTTCGTAACATGTGCCTGAGGAAGGCACACTACTTCCGTACTCCCCGAGAAAGGCACACTTTCCAAACCCACTTATCCGCCCAAAAAAGGCGCAGATATTACCCTCCCTCCCCCATACCAATTCAGGCAAGCTTGCCAGTCCCACGCCTGTGCCCGAAAAAGGTCCTCTCCTCTCCCTTCCAAACACCACTCCAGCCAGAACCCTCAGTCCACACTACAGCTCTGCCCCACAGCCTTTCCAAACAGGTCATTCTTATTACCAGCCCTCCTGTATCATGAGAGAAAAACGGTTTCTGGGTCAGCTGAGGTGGCCATTTTCCAAGCAGACCCAGTCAAGTGAATACCTATAACGAACAACCCACCCCACTACACAAGTGAATCCTGATCTCTGCTCTCTCCCCCTTCCCCAGCCCCATCCTCCCTATCCATCCCTCTCCCTGCCTCTCTCTCTCCCTGCCCAATCACACCCCCAACCTGGACGTTCCTTCCAGCTGCACTTCTCGCCTCTCCCTCTCCAACCCTGACCGCTTCAGGCTGGCTCTCCTCGTTTTCCCTCTGCCCGTTCCTCCCTTGAGTCACAATCGGTACAAGCACATCCGGTAGAGCACCATCAGCACCTCTTGTCCCCGTTGTCTCTTTCCGGCCACCCGCCCGCTCCTTCTTCCCACACCCGCAACACCTCCCCTCCTCCCTTCCCCCTCTTCCCACCACCTCTCGTGTCCCTCTTCTTTCCCCTTTCCCGCCTTCCCCCACCTCGCCATGACTCCCCACTCGCCTCCCTACTTGCCCCTGCCTTTGCCCTTGTCTCCGCCTCTCTCTCCCGCCCTCCCCCCTATTTCCTCCTCGTTCCGCTTCTCTCGAACCTCCGCTGCCCCGTCCCCTCCCCTCTTCCCCTCGCCGCCTGCTACCCCTTCTTTCCGACGCGCCAATATTTCCGCCAGGGGAACGGGAGCTGGAGGACGGGGAACCAGAGGAAGACGAGGACGAGGAAGCGGCTAACGACGATAACGAGGAGGCTGAAGACGAGGATGACGGCGCGCGGGAGGAGCGCAGGGGGGCGGAGGGGGAGGAATCGGAGCGGGAATCTCCGCGCCCGCGCTCGTGCCTCGCGGTTGACGCGGCGATTTCCGCGGCGAGAGAAGCGGCGGCACTCGCGGCGGCGGCTGCGGCAGACGCGGTTCGGATAGCGGACTCAGGAGCAAAATAGAACGCGGCGCCGACAAACGCCAGCACGCACACAGACGCTAATACCGCGGCGACTGCTAACGCGAATAAAGTGACGCTGTCCGACGATCCGGAATCCGACGTGGCAGTTGCGTTCGCAGGGACGGGGTAAGAAGACGAATATGTGGTCGCCGTGACATTCGACGATGACGTGGCAGAAATATCCGTGGTGTTACCAGAATCTGCGCCGGGAATCGCGGACGCGGGGCTCCCTGAAGAAGGGGCGGCAGATCCGGTGCTAGCGGGAGTGCAATTCGCGGAGGAGGATAAGAGCAGCGCGAGCGTAGCGCCATCGAACGGCTCTGCTGCCTCGCAACTAATCGACCTTACTCCCATCTTCTGCGGCGCGACGAACGGCGCACCCATCGCTCCTCCCTGCAGCCTGATCGTGCGCATCCCCCCCCGTAACTTGGATCCCGCAGTGTCCGCCGCGAGTTGCGGCGCTGCGTTTACGGCAGCACTGATGCTACCAGGTGAGTCGAGGGCCACCTTGCTGGATGGTTTCGCGGCGGGTTCTCCGGCCGATCCGGAATTTGGGGAAGCAATTGAGGATGAACGGTTGGATAAACAGTGTTGGGTGGATCGGACGGTGGAGATTAAATAATCCCACGTAGGCATGACGATGGCGAACGACGGTTCTAACGGCGAGCAGTTGACGGACGACCAGAAGACTAACGACTGGCAAATGTAAATGCGCTCGCCAATTGATCCTCCAACCTGAGTCGCTTCCATCTTGCTTGTAGCTGGGGTACTTGTAGCGGGAGTGTTGGTACCGGCAGAAGTGCTCTTATCCATCGCATTGGCGGCTGCGAGAGCAGCAGCGAGCGCAGCAGACGCATCCCCCAGCCAATCAATCCTGAACGACCGACTCGCGCTAGGTCGTGGGATCCGGAGGCAACTCGCGGCAGGGCTCGGCGAAACCACGGCGACCGGCGCGGGGCAAGAAAACGCTTCATCCGGGCAGCTGGTAATTGCGGTGAGCATTGAAATCTGCCCGCTTTGGCCCGGTTTTGACAGCACTGACGGCGGCGGCTGCGCAGGATCCGACGATCCCGTGACTTTGTGAAGAGTTGCTTCTATCTCACCCGGCGGTGCGGCACTTGCGGCGGAAGTTACGGCGGCAGTTGCGGTGATCGACGCGAGTGGAAGGGAGAGGAGGAGACCAAGGAGGAGGAAGCTAGGTGAGGCGGAGAGCCGCCATCTGTGGCGACACGGTGTTACCCGGTGACGGCGTAG